TTTTTCTTTTCTTTCCCTTTCTTTTTCATTCAGTACGCATTGGGCCTTCCTGCCACCTGTGCTGCGTTACGGACTTGCTTAGCCCAGCGCAATCCGCAACTGTTGCAAAGGTCACGCTCCCCACTAGGCCCACGGCGCCACTCGGGTGTTTTTTTGGTCTGACACATGGCACAACTTTTCTCTACCGATGCGGCGCTCTGCTTGCGCTTTCGCTTCTTTCTGCGCGTAAGCAATTTCTGCAGCTCATCGGACAGCGTTCGGTTCTGTTTTTCCAATTCCCGAAGCTCAACCTGCCAGCTTGAACCCCTTGTTGGCACCAGCTCTGTGAAAAATGGAAGCTCTTGAATCTGGGGGTTGGCTTGTTTACTGGAAGCCAATAGGTTTTGTCCTGCTATGCCAGAAACACCTGAAGCTGATTGCCGATGAATATTCAAATCACGCAAGTTTCTGTTCGGCGGGGGCGCTGAATTCGACTCATCATTGCCTCCCTGCGGGGATTTTGGGAAACTAATCTGGGCCACAAGGAACGAGGGTCTAATGCCTTCCTTGGTATCTCCCGGGTGTAGGGTGGTCTGCGCGGGCAGCATATGGCCCTTCTTGTGACGGATTTTATGGCTGAAAGTGGCCCGTTGGCCCGTACGAGCCACTCTCAGAGCCTTCTGTACCTCCACCCGCGAATCCATCAGATCTTGCAAACTTTTGCCAATCAGCTCATCAGGCATACGGCCCAGCACCGGGCGCGCCTTAGAGGTCATGAACAGAACAATCCCGGACTTTGACAACTTGACCCACACATCAGTTTCAGCCAAGCTACCTTGTCCTATGCTCGTAATATGGTCGAGACAGTACACGAGACGAGGCCGTCCGACAAGGACCATGAACTGTCGCCCCCGTTCTCCCATGCGCCACGAACCATGACTCTCAAACCAAATATATCCGCTGCGTTTCCTCCGTATTCTAAACACGACACTAACCGGCTCAGTGGTGGTGCAGGCCCGTAGGTCGCGGATGACTGGACCAATATCACTAGGATGGCAGACCGTCGACAGCGTCTTGCCCACAAGTTCAATCGGCTCGTATTCCAGTACTTTTCGGCAAGACGGGGACAGGTAGAGAAATTCGCCTTCGAGCGATAAAGCATGTATTAAGTCATCTGTGTTCTCAACTAGTATGCGATCCAGGTAGCTTCTATAGGTCAACGTTGAATTATCGAGACTCTTTAGGATGGTTGACACCTGGTCGGTCCTGAACCAAGTGACTAGATCAGGGTGCGATCGATATATATCAGGAGGCGGTACGACATAATTTGGCAGCCGGTTCCGTTGGTAGTTGATCGTATAAGTACCATCTGTATAACTTGGTCAGTTTGATATGTTGGACACCATCAGGTTTGGATCCTACTCGGATTTCTCCTCGTGACGGCGTCGGGTGTCTCAACAAGATCAACCTGGAACCCCACGTAGAAGCGATATTCCTGGGAGTTCCAGCGAATGGGAATCATTGATATCAGGTTCATAAATGGCTGTCCACCCTTCCGGTAGTTGATGAGACTGGCCTGAATCTCCGTTCGGTCCTCGATTGTGGACCGCAAACGCGAGGTGGTTTGGTCATCGACAAATGTTCGTTTCATGCCTTTTTGGACAACGCCCTCTGGCCCTTGAAGAAACCGGCAGTTTTGGCCCACGATTTCCTGTTCTGTATAGCCGGTAAGTCGTTCAAATGCTTCAGAGACATAGATGATCGGGTGATCATTTTTAGTTATATCGCAGAGTACAAACGCGCACGACAAATCAACCGCGCCGATATTGATTTTAGGATTTGGTCTCGACACTACTTCGGCCTACAAAGAAGACCAAGGGGTGAAAGTCAGACGCTCCAACATTCTATGACGCTTGGCTTCAGGATTCAAGTGGTAAAACCTACCAAGACGCCCATTATATCGAAGCCGCTACTTGAATAGATGCTGGCATATTGTGACGTCTCATCAGCTGCCGACTTGGGATGAGGTGGTAAAGGAACTTTCAGACATTATCCCGCATTAGTGATATTTCAACGTATGCAGACATAAGGAACCCATTTGCGTAGGAGTAAACCTACCCTTCGCTGGGGGTGGCCTTTTAGGTTGAATGAAGCGATGAGAGGACGCGGGACCCGACGACTGAAACCCTCGATTTCGCCTACGTTGCGATGTCTGCCCTGCGGGCTGGGGGAAATTAGTAGAGGGTTGTTCTTTAAGCGTTCCCGTTGGCTGTGCAGGAGTGGTCAGTTCTGCATGGCTGGGTGGTGCCTGATATGTATTCAAAACGGGTCCGTGTGTCTGCATAGTAGAATAAGCCACCGAGGGATTCAGATTCATGGGCTGCGATGGTAGGCAAGTGTTGTGGAAAGTTAGGGACTGCTGTCCCTGGAAGTTTTCTAGCGGCATGGTTGGGAACGGGGCTTGGAAGGCATTGTAAGCAAACGGGTCGCCTGTATTTATAGCCGTGGCTGCTGAACCCCCAAGTGCAGAAAGTGGATCGTATAGGAACATAGCATTAGATGTTCGGTGCCCGATGTTCTCAGTGGGCATGGGATGCTCCGGTAGATTCAGGGACAGCCCAGCCGTGTGCGACGGGAAGACGAACGACGCACTATCAGCAACTAGATCTGGTATCTGTGGTTGATAGGCAAAACTAGCTGCGTGCATCTGGTCCGGCGCTGTGAAGGGCATCATCGCCTGAGCATAGTGATCACTAGATGATGGAGGATAATCAACTCGATGGTCGGACGCAGGTACTGTATACTGCGCATCATAGTAGCCGTCACTAAACCCTTCCATGCTGTGGCTAATATCCTTGAAGACAGTGCTCGATCGATTCGATTCGACAGTTTAAGCCAATGAGCGCAGCGCATCGACACAGGCTGGTCGATGCGATAAGAGATGAAGACCAGCGCACGCACTCAGACGTCCATATAGAGCCCAGATAATTAAGAATCCCGATGAGCAAGCACCAGTGTCAGAGTTTAGAGAAGAGGGAGAGGAAGAAGATTGAAAGATGGAATGAGTCCGAACGGATTTCGCAGGTTTAATATGAGACAATTTAATGATGATATATTACACTAACAGGGGGTGACGGCAAAAGCAACGAGAGACCTAAAGGATTGATTTGGCATCAGGTAATGACCTATGTCAGAAGCTAAAGGCCCAGGAATGGCAATAGGAAGTGAAATTAATCATATACGACGACTGTTGACAGGGACGGTTTTGCCTACGTCCATGTCGACATGCAAGTGCGGGCCGTAGCAAGCGGGATCTTACCAATAGGAGGGGCTTGTTGAGCCAGCAACAAAAGTGATGTGTCAAAAACTAATAAAATTCCATAATATATATATATAAATAATTAAAAGATCTAAGACCGCCCCAGCAGCCTTTTGTGATGAATCACTTGGGAAGATGGAGGAAGAGAATGAGAGGAGACTGTGTGAGTGGGGGAAAAAAAGGAAGGTCAAAATAAACAGAAGGATATTTATTGAGAGAGTTGAACAGTTTCCTCTGATATATATATACATATACATGGATATAGATAAAAGAAGAAAAATCAATACGACAAGGACATGCACAGGAAGGGTAGGTACAAGGCCAGCTCACGTGATCGGGAGGATTTTCAGAATATCTTTCAGGTGAGACCTGGTAGAAGTAAATCGGAGTGTTCGATTCTTCTGCTCTGTTAACTCAAAATCAATTAAAATTATGTTGTACTCGTACCAATGGCTGGGTACCACCTGTTAAAACATCAATCCACTCAGGGCATGTTATAGTCACCTGGGACGACAGTTCACAACGGTCTCGATTTCAGCATCATTATTGGCTCCTTTAGGAAAATCAGTTGTCACAATGTAAATCCTCCCAGTGTATTTTGTGGATATCAACTATCCAGGTACTTGTCTCATACTTTCTTGATGTGCGACTACTTATTCTACGTTGAACCTAATTCCACTAACGTGTACACTATACTGGCATTGCATTGATATCAAACTTTATTAATAAACTATAGCCCACCTTCACTCTTGCCCCTTGAACCATCGTGCACTTGAACTGAGTACATTCCCTTCGTCTCTCTTGCTTTTCGTGTGTACATCATATTCTCCAAGTTCATCATTATTGATGTTGTCATTCGTTTAGAATTAGTTCAACCGCTCATTTTGGGTCCTTTCAGTTGGATCGACACAGCTCATTTGCTCCCCCCCCCCTTTCTCTCTCGCTCTCTCGCTTTTTCTTTACTTTCTTTTACTCCCAATGCCCCTCTCCTAACCGAGAAACAATATCAGCTTTGAGACCGGACGAATCTTTCAATAACCTGTCTCACACCTTTTTTCAAAAAAACTCCTCTTTGCCAACATCTCAACCTCCTTTGACCGATTGCGCTTATTGTTTTACACCTTCTCTTGGTCAATACCACTCGCCGCGCAGATTGACCCACTATCGCAACCCGAGAGATGGCGGACGCGCCAAACAAAATCACCATCACTATATGTGGAGATGGCGGATGTGGTATGTTGTGCAATCTTATGACACTTCCATTTTCTTGCCTTCTGAAACTCTCCGCACCGGAGCTTGAAATCCGCCACATACTCGCGACCGGGATACGTTCAATATTGTTTGTCGTCTTGCGCCATGAAGCCTAGACTGATCTAGTACGCTACATAGGAAAGTCGTCCATCACCCTTCGATTAGTACGCAGCCAATGGATTCACGAGTAAGTCTCTGCTTGGTCGACCTTCCTATATCGGACAGTTTAGTACAACCAATGAGTGCCTTGATCAACCGGACTGATCTCGTGCAAACATGTCTAGGTACGATCCTACTATCGGTAATCCACCACCCTTATCCGCCCATTCTTGATTCGACAATATGGCCCTTCTAACATCGAACTCGTTCGTTGGAAACTGTAGAAGATTCATATTCGGTGACACGGACCGTCGATGGCGTCCCTTACTTTTTAGCGATTACCGATACCGCCGGCCAAGAAGAATATCGCGGACTGTGGGCGGCATCTAACCTAAAATCAGACGCTTTCCTTCTCGTCTACGACATCACCAATGCTTCTAGTTTGAACGCGCTGGATTATTTCATGGAGATGATCGATATCGAGGCTGAACAACGGGTAGAAGACAACCAGCGTTTGCTGAAGGAATTGGGAGATAGCGCACAGGGCTTAGAAGTGGGGATGCCTCCCCCTGTCAAGATTATCGCAGGAAACAAGTGCGATCTTAAAGAAGGACGGGCTGTGGGAGCCAAAGAAGGTCTGGAATATGCTCGGAAACATGGCTGTGGTTTCATGGAAACAAGTGCAAGAGAGATGGTGAATATCGAGGAAACTTTTGCCCGTATACTTCACCCCTTCCTAAAATATTCCTGTGCAGGGTTTAACATTCTTATAGTTTTAGTGCGTCGTGTGGTGGAGGCTCGTCAACAGCATTACCAGAAAGACACTCAGGCCACCCATTTACCACAAACTTCAGCTTCTTCACCTGTGAAAAGTTCTGCCGCTGCCGGCCAAAATAAAGGCGCTGCTTTGAAGTCGTCCAACAAGGAAGGCTCACATCTTCGATCTTTCTGCTGTGGAATATTCCGTGGAAAGGAACGATCAAGACAAAGCCAGCAACAAACAAATGAGAACAGGAACTCCGTATCGGCACACGGGGCATCATCAAAATCCGCCACGCCGCGCCTGTGGAGGCGTTTGAGTTGCTGGTGAGCTCACAGAATGCGTTAGTACAAGAGCCTATCCCCGTTCTTGTTCCTGTCCTTTTCGCTTATTATTACTGTGTGTGTGTACTTTCTTTGCACATGTTCTTCTATCTTCATATACCCCTTCATCTTCGTCAGCTTGCCACATTGTTAATTTACTGCTTCTGGCACAGTCCTGTACAGCTTTCAAAATGTATATACTTTTTTTTCTCCTCCATTTTGCTTCCTTCGATATCTCCTTATTCCTTATTCATCTACCTAGCTGAAGCTTCTTGGACAAGGGTAACAAGATATTGATTAAAACGGATGCGGGGAGCAACGTTTAGGAATGACCACGCTGGGGTCATGCGAACTTCAACTTGGCAGACAGAAAACCAAGGAACAATACCGCCTATTCACAACCTTAACATACTCGTGGGCATCTCAGGAGAGAACAGATTCTGATGAGCGACAGGAGGAGCCATTCGGTCAAGTGGTGAGCCACTTGAAGAAGACCGCCGAATGACGCCAACATGCCATCGTTACTGGGCTACTGTAGATTGCTCCATTAAGATTCGATATATAGACCAAATGGAGCCTGATTGTCTCGAGCCAAGGTAAACCTATGAACTTGGGCTCAATGCAACATGAACCAACGAACCAGGTGTCTCCTTCCAAAGTCCTTGGGTCATTGATCGTAAGGCCAAAGCTTATCTTTGATAGGATCAAAACAATGGCGCAAGGATGAAGTCAAATCTGAAGGTCGAAGGTTTTCTTCGAGGCCGATCGCCGAGAAAACGGCGATTGACATAACGTGATACTGACATAATTATCTCTTGAAAGAGAACTATTTTCAATCTTGTAAACCCCCTCCTTTGTTTTATTTTATTTATATTTTATATTTATATTTTTTATACATATTCTTGTAGTTTATTAATTCCTCTCTTTTTGCTCTTCTTTTTTCGGTCTAGTTGACACTTTGGTCAAGATGACACGGAAAGGATGAGTCTGCGGATCATCATCTCTAAATTTCTATGTTCATGGATTCTCACCTCGTGTGCTAACGTCATTGACTATTAGTGGAACAACTAGTAAATAGAGATACGGCACCACGATCCGTTAGCATGTTCTTTCTATACTTGATCTAAGTGGATAGCATAGTGGGATCACTAGTTAATGAATAGGGTTAAAAATATTAAAGGAAGAAAAGAAAATTACGATTTTAAATAGTGATACAATTTTTTTTTTTTTTTTTTGGATTGTTTTGTTTTGTTTCATTGTTGTTATTATTATTATTTTAAAAACAAAACAAAAAAGAAACCCCCAAAAGATCCTGAAATCAAACAGAAATGGAAAATACCTCATTCAACCTCTGGTGGGCACTATGACCTGTGTTAGACCAACAATTTCTACCGATGGAGCTATCTATGCAGTGTGCGACAAGTGGCAATGATCGTTTGGGGGCCCGTCTTGTGTTAAGCTTTTAGGAGAATCATCCGAGTTTCCAGGGTTGGGCTCGTGATCAGAGACGGGCACTAAATGGCCGAAGAGAGAACATTCGATGCATGGGTTCCAAGTAGTACTCCGTACACTCTAAGACCAAAATGACCAAATCCTCCGGTTTGACTTATTCGGCATGCGTTTGCCGAGAGAAGGTGGAAACGGTGATCAAAGAGAAACTCCTCCAGTTGTGCCGTAATGCCGTTTAATGCACAGGGCGGAGGTCATAGTAACCAGTAGTACAAAGTACAGTACTCTCGAGGGGTATATGTATGGTATTGTAAGGATACCACTGTATCTCCGTATGAGGTGTGTATCCCGGTGAAATCAGGAGGTGGAAAATCTGGAAGACAATCGTCAGAATGTCACCAATCCCTGAAGGACCCTAACCTGCTCCAACAGGTTCTAACAATTAAGGTCTGCTACAAACTATCGAAGCTCGACGGAGAATGGAGATCCAATGCTACTCGGATATACGGAGTCTGGTTAAGAATAGCAATCCTGACTTTCAAGAACTGAACCTTGGCATTTTTGGAGCAGAAGAGGATATAAAGAAAAAAGAAAAAATTTTCTTCTCTGTTGATGTAATCAACACTTGACCAAAACGAGGGTTATTGCTGATTTAGGAAATTCAAAACATGATGATGGAGCTAGGGAAGATGGCACCTCCGAGGTCCGAGCCAAGGCCTCCGACCCCGAGTACAAGTCCTCCCGCTTTACCCGCACTTCCGCGCTCCGTAGGTATGGTAAATTGTATCTGATTTAGTCAACTGTTCCTCCAGTAATATACTGGGTACTGGTAGTACGACAGGTAATATATTCGAGATCACTCAGTATTTATAATACAGAAAGCGGTGTTTCTCAATGTGTTCAAAGATGTTGTTCTGCCTCTTTGGGAATGTGTTGTTGCTGTTGTTAAAAAGAAAAGGCTACTGCAGGGTCGAACATCCCCATATAAAATCTAGTTCACAAAGCAACCGTGGGAGGTCCGGTATGAACAGTACCGTAAATTACAGAAGCTCCACCGCATAACCTACTGAACTAGGACGAGACCAATGATCGCCCAGCCATCCCATACTTTGCTCTGCCTGGAGTGCGTCAATAAGACGGAGTACATAGTACATTCCTTCGTCAGGCTTTAATAATATTAATTAGAAGTAAGAACTAGATCCATTACAAGTAAATAAGGAATTTAAAAAAAAAAAAAATTCATAAATGAAAAAAAACCTGAGTAATCACCCAGTAATATTACCCATCGCTCATAGCCATCATCATCCATCAATCTACTCCGGACTACAGATTAGTTAAAAAGCAAGTTCAAACCCTCCAGAACCCATACTTCCTTTGGTTTCTGGACTGTCTTATATCAGCGGCTACCATATAACTCTCACGTACCTTCCCATAGTCACTGCAACCTTCGCCGTTCCACTTCTTGGGTGCAACCATTCTGGCCATTACTCATTACCTCGTCTTCCCATGCGACTGACGTCTCGCATTGGTCCTTGATCTTGTCCACCCGTTGGCCTTTGCAAACCTTCAGTCTCCTTCTCCCCGACATCGTTATATCATCGACCAACTTTAACGCATTGTCGATCCCTTGAACTACTACTATTGCAGCACCCCAGAACACGAATGAACAATCACTGGAAGAATCTCACGTACCAACCCGGCTTCTAATTTCCAGTAGTCTTAAGATTATACCTATTCTACTTTTACTCCTTACAAATTACCCTTTTTATTTTCTTATTATTGCTATTGTTATTCTGATTTTTATCATCTCGATTCCTCTGGTCTCCTCTCTGTCTCCTACTTGTTACTTTTTCCCATTCCCGCCCATATCTATACAGCTGTACTACACAATGACAGCACGCCAATCATCACCTACATCAGAACACTCTCATTCGGACAGCAATGTTCGCAAGAGGGTATGTAAGGCATGCGATCGGTGCAGGCTGAAGAAATCCAAGGTAAGCAAGTTCGAGGCCCAAGCATCAGCACGCTCTGATGCACTGACCGGTGCAGTGTGATGGAGGCAACCCATGTGGTCGCTGTAGGACAGACAATGCCATTTGTGTCTTTGGCGAGAGGAAGAAGGCTCACGATAAAGTGTACCCGAAGGGGTGAGCTTGCACCTGGCATTGATAATTTTACGTGTGGTTTCTCCGCAGGACTTGATCGCTAACATATCCTACTCGGGTGTAGATATGTTGAGATGCTTGAGCAACAACAAGCGTGGCTAGTCTATGGGCTTCAAGAACTATATCGACGCACCAGCGAAGGCGAAGGGTGGCCTGGGGAACCGTTGAAATGCGAAGCCAACGGCCACCCTCTCACTCACGATCTGCTCACCCGATTGGGCGCTTTGGACCAGAGCAAGGGCGAGCGTTTTGAGGAGAACACCGACTCTATGCAGCAAGACCTATGGAAGCAGAACGCAGGGCATATGCAGCGCCAGGACTCGTCAGACGGCAGTTCAGAAAGTGCACAATCACCCGTTCTTCCCACCCGTTTCCCAGACGCTTTTACGCGACAACCACTTACTCCGCCTACGTTCAGCCCTCCTTTGCGGCAAGGACCTACAATCAAGACGGAACCTCAAATTGTGCCCAATACGCCTAGCTTCATCCCGCCGATGGCTATGCACGGGGACGTGGTCAACCCTCTCGCGTTACAAGATCCGCAACAATGGCCGAGCAGCTTAGGGAGTTTCGACGACATGGACCTGATGGCGACTGCCGATTACAATAACCTGTCATTCGATGACCCAGTCTCTTCTCCGATGTTCAATCGCCAAATTCCTATGAATTGCATATCGTACATGGATGCAAAGAATGACTACGAAGATATTAGTCAATTCTTGAATGCGAATCCACCGGAAATAACGTCTAGCTGAGCCGCACATATCGACGGAGAGTAACATGCTAGCGAAGCATGGCTTTTCTTCTGCCTCGACGCTACTTGCATACGCCTATGACGTGACGCATGTACATTACACATGTTTTTCTTCGATTTACTAATACTGTGGTTACTTGCCTGATAATTTTTCTGGGCGGTGGATCTCTTTACGATAGGGTTTGAAGGGTCCATCACACTGTACAGTCTTTATTCGTTCCCGGGCTACTAGTGTCACATCGTGAATGCGACACTCGAATGCGATTCGACGCAAACGCCCCTTTGGTGCTCTGGAGTTGGGAGGCAAAACATTAGCTGGGTTTACAGGGCTACGGAGAAGATTATTCTTCCCATTATTATTGTTATTATTCTTTCATGTCTGTATCGAGGGCTGGTTACCACTTTAGTCTTGTGAACGGTCGACTATTCCGGCGTCCGGTCTGGGATGCCTTACATATCATGATATAGAACCATGAACCGTGCAGTTCGGCTAATATGATTGTCGAATTATCTTCACATACTCCGTATATCTGCCAGGGTTTCAAAGAGAATTGGGTCGAGTATCTCATACAGGCCAGGCACCGGCGGAGTGACGTCGAGAGTGGATGACTAATCGGCAACGGAGGGACATCGATGATTCATCTCCGATTCTTATCTCCGCCCCGCCCTGTGCATTAGGTACTTGATGACGCCCCAAAGCTTCTGGTACCACCGTCTGTAGTATGTACATACATACTAACCTAGTATGTTCCTCCATCGAAACAGCTTCTGGAGTTGCATGATAGTGCAGGAAGTTTTCAAGACGATGATACTATGACTTGACCTAGTCTTATTGTTAAGGATTAGGGCCAAGGGGGAAAAACCCCACGAAAGTCTACAATGGTCACAGAGCAACCAGGTAGTGTATCGTATTTCACTTTACTGTTACTTCTTCCAGTAGTACTACGACCTTCGAAGAGTTGTCAAGAATGAGAAGGTCACAGCCCCACTCGTGGACCCTCTGGCACGGTACCGGTCCAGGCCAGCCGAGCTTGTGGAAGGGAAAAAGACAAAAAAGAAAAAAAAAAAAAAAGGGAAAGGAATAATAATGATAATTCCGCTTTTGAGATAATTCCGTAACTGTCAAAATCCGAACGACCGAGCCGATTGCTGACCACCGCTCCCTTAATTCCATCCTGCACAATTATTAATTTTTTTTTTTTTTAATTCATCCTTTTTCGCCCTCTTTTAGTACATACGGAGTATTTTCGAACTTTCCGAATCGCTGCCTCATATGGGCCGAGCTAAACCTTGCTGTTCCCTCCGTCTTGCGGTGGAATTGATTCTGGCCGCTTGCTTAAGGTTTTCCCTCTCTCTTTTTTGAGGTTTCTTGCTTGTCTCGTCCTTGCTGTAATAATTATCACGTATTATCCTCGAGACCGACTCAGATAAGGTTGACATGGCTAACCCAATCCCCTTCTTTACCCGCGTCACGATAGAGTAATGCTAGTGTCATCCTCGAGATGAGGACGATTAATAAGCCTTACGGCTTGCTTTGAAATGAGTCAAAAGTTTGGCTTCCAGTTTGACTTCTTCTGTAAGCAACCAATCGCCGGCATAAGCAACGGAAGCTTCTGCCAGCTCAATGATTCGACATCCAATACGATGATCGCTCCCTTCGTAAACGCCAAATGCCGGGGTCTCGGTGTCTGAATCAGTGATGAGAAATTTTTACAAAGCGCAAAGCTTCTTGCAGCATTGGACATTCGTATTGCGACCACAAATGTACAGAGTATGTATGATGGTATGTACAGTACGTACATACCTACTGGCGCTACTACCTCAGGTTGGTGACCTTAGGACTTTTCGAGAGTTGATATTCGTGAGATCAGTGTTCTCCACAAACGACGGAGATCGGGTGACTTAGGCACAGGATCGTATATACCCGACGCATTGGGTAAGGACCATTGTGAAGAACTCCTCCGTTACCATGAAACGGAATCTTCTCCCTGACACAAAACCCAAGCACTCGGCATCGGGACGTCCGCGCCCGCGGACACCGATATTTCCGCTCGATCGGTATGTCTACGTTCCGACTCGAATTGTTACGGGCGCAAGGTAATTATGGGGTACATGAAATTCCATGGCGGCATTCTAGAAGAACGCATTCTTTCGCAAGTGCTCCAAGTTCATACAAAATAGGGGAGATGGGAGAAAGGATAATCATTTTTAGGTCCTGAGTGTTGATTACGCAATTCGCAGCCTTGAAATCTGTCACGTAAGATCGCGAACGATGTTACTAGATATTCCGCCTCGAGATCTTTCATGATCGTGGGTACTGACTCATGTGGTCTCTTGTAGTGGTCTAGTAACTGATGTGGAAGGTAGGCATATCGCCCTTACCACAACGTAGGAACTTCATAGGGCTGTTCAACATGTACGTGCTCAGTATGGACGTACTGTACATCCATGCGAATATGCCACCCGTTCGCTGTCCAACCCACACCACTCATCCACCCATTCTACCTCATCAGTCATGCGCTTAGATACGGCAAGTAGATCGTGGAGTACTCTATTGAGTTTATTTAAACCTGCAGGGCAGAGCCTCAAAAGGCGTTTTCTTCTAAAGGCCTAAAACAATACACCTTACCTCAAGGCGACATCCAACAGGACGGATTCTCCGTTGGTATGGCCGGAAGAGGGATACTTCTTGTAGGCACACGAGGGCAACACTGCAATCCATTGAAACAGTACCAATTGCCATGTTGAACTGGTCTATTCAAGTACATGGGTATTGGTGGATTATTCCCTCTCGGTTAATATACCAGTGCATTCATCTCGGGTCATTATGGCGTTGTAAAGGGGCTTTTGATATTAGCCTAAAGGCCCTTTTCTGCGGGGTACGGAGTAATGCCCCTCGTTTATATTAATCTCCCCGTCCTATTCAGTTGCGCCCATCAACTCACACGATTTGCTATTAACTCCTAACGGGTACAAGGTGGTCTTCAATAGGTACCTTTAGGACAACTGATACACCGAAAATGGCCGATCAATCATCAGTCAAATTCACATCCTTGGGCGCAATCATCCAAGAGCTCAACGTGGATGGCCAAAACATCGTCCTGGGATTTACTAAGAAGGAACTCTACGAGAGATATAACACCCCTTGGTTTGGCGCGACCATTGGTCGCGTAGCCAACAGAATCAAGGATGCCAAGATTCAAAGTCTCAACAACCAAGAATATGAACTTGAGAAGAACAATGACCCTAACGCGTTGCATGGAGGTAGCCGTGGATGGGGCAGGCGGGACTTTGAGGGACCGACTTTACTGCAGCGAAACGGCAAAGACACCTTGCTTTATACCTATACGAGTCCCCATCTGGACGGAGGATACCCCGGCACGGTAGAGATCAAAGTCTTCTATACCGCAAGCAAAGAAGACAACCGTTCAGTGCTTTCGATCGAGTATGAGGTTGAATTGGTGGGTGATGAGTGCAACGAGACGGTTGTCAACGTGACCAACCATAGGTATGTACCAGATGGGGACCTGGGACAGACGTGAAATGCCGTTGACTAAAGGAACGATGGAGCATTTTGCTAACGAGCTATATTCCTATAGTTATTTCAACCTCACCGGCGGCGAGACCTTTGACGGCACCTCAGCTAAGCTCTTGACTCAACATTATCTGCCGCTCGATAATACTGGCATCCCGTTTGGTAGGATCGACGTACATCCCAGTAAAGTTACTGAGCCATTCACGATCGGGCCGAATAAGGAAGCGTTTGATGATGTCTTTGTTATGGATCGAGATGTCGCTGGGATCCCGTTGGACACGCGTGAGAGACCGCTCCAGCTGCTCGCAGAGTTCCACCACCCAGAGTCGCGTATCAATCTACAGGTACACAGCACTGAGCCTGCGTTTCAGTTTTATACCGGCCAAGGAACCAATGTAGCTGCGGTTGACGGCAACCCGAGTCGAGGCCCGTTCTCCGGCTTCTGCATCGAACCCAGTCGTTTTGTCAATGCGATCAACGAACCGGATTGGCGGCACATGGTTGTTTTGAAGAAGGGCGACAAGTATGGAAGCAAGATCGTGTATAAGACTTGGAAAGACCCGCAATGAATTGCTGGTTCTAGAAGAATGTCATGCCACCGATGTGGGACCGATTGAAGGAGATTTTGTGCCTATTCGGCGTTTGTAAAATCATCCGATTGTCACATGATGTGCCGATTACCCTTATCACCATAAATGTCTCCGATACATTTATCATCAAGCTCCAGCAGTCGTACGCTCCACAGTACAATAGATACGTTATATGGGATGTCAGCGCCAAGTGGGAAAAGCCTCGGCCTTAATTCAAGAGAATGCTCCACCAAGGGAGTGGGAACAGCAAAATTTTCTTTTTTTTTAAAATTTTTTTTTTCTCTAATTCATTTTCCCTTGATGTCAAACATTTGTCAGCGGTCATCCCTCGCCAGTGTATTTGCGCGAGCACGTTGGATTGGTTTAGTTCTGCAACAGGGATAATCGCTCATCCTTCCAATATTGCTCGCCTGCCAAGAGTTTCTGGAATAGAGCTATTGTTCTAGCGCCCCTCGAGTATGCCTGCTATGTTTGTTGATCATCTCATAGTAGTTCGTTAGGGAATGGAGCAGTTTCTGAACTTTATAGGCCATGGTGCTCTTGATAGAATCAATAGTCCAGATGATAGTAGAGGGATTCTTAGCCTCAAATAGCCATCACCAGCGATGAAAAACGCTACTGTACTAGTAGTATTCCAGTATGTATGTACATTACAGGCATACATCAATCAATTGAAACCATCGGTATTACCAAGCACAGTACGGAGTACTCCGTACAGCCGTACAGTGTACACAGTACCAGCGACGGATCTGGGGGATGCCGTTTTTGGCCGTGTAACGATACGAGACCACTTTTGCTCGAGCTTCGGACTCGGAACGGACAACAAATTTACCGACAGAGCTTGGCAGCGATGAGGTTTTTTTTAGTGGTCGTATACCGTACAGTATAAGGTTCTCCTGGATCAGCATGCATTGCTTGGGCATTTTTGCAACGGCCAGATTTTGGCATATCCGTAACTCCGCGGGCCTCGAAGGAGGTCTTTTTGCCTTGAAATTCCTTTCCCTGGTCCGAGACGCCAAGCCGGAAACGAGTACGAAGCAGGCGCAACCACAAATCGAGTAAAGGAGATGCTAATCGCTTTGAAGTTTAATCACAAGATCGGGGCGCAGTTGATCGGTTCAGGAGGACGGAGTAGTTTGGAAGCATTGGGGCTGGTTTACACAGTATTATGTATAGAATCTATGCATATTAGCGTTGTTGTTTATTACCCCGCACTCTGTTCGGATTGCATTTATACAAGTTGGGTATGGACAGTATATATGGATATGTACATATATATATGGAGAGGGCACAAAATACACATTAGCATTAATCAACTTAATCCTCCATTCATCACCATGCGATGTTATGTGCATTGTGCAATATCTATCTTTATGCCAATGAAAAATGGAGCAATCATCTCATCAGAAGATCAATGCTCCTCGATCAAGTATCCTTGTTGCCTACAGCTGGGGGGCAGTGCGACCCCACATAGTTCTCAGCATGGAGTCTCCTAAAAAGATGGCTGTGCTCTTGGAAGGAGCTGCCTTTGTATATTATTATACGAAGAATTCTAGAACTGATAGGTTTTACCGGTGCCCGATCATCACAGACTGTATTTGTACGGTATATACGAAATGAACATCGAACGGAAAGAAAAGCTTGACAGATATGGAAGCTGGTCATACCGACTCTCTACTCTCCCAGGGAAAGTAACGCGAAGGGACATACTTTGTATGTTATGTCCATTCATCCATGTAGTTACTCCGGAGTACATCCAGCAATGACTTCAAAGGGCTCCCGCACCACGTGACTGCCCCGGAACGTCCCGATGGCCTGCCCCGCGTGGGGTTCGATATCCGACTATCCAACTTCCGCCTCATGCTTGATCAGATTCCCATCCTGCGTTAAGAGATCCATAGTCTATCTCAATAAACATCCGCTTTTCAGGAAGACGTACACAAAACAATGGCTTCTACTTATGGGGACTTCCGTCACTTGCTTCCTAGCAGCTACAAACGCCTGATTACATCCTGGCTCGAAGAGGACTGTCCCAGTTTTGACTATGGCGGTTTCGTCGTTGGGGAGTCAGACGGCGAGGCAAGGTTGTTGGGGAAAGCTAAGGTAACTCTCGCATTCTGTGGATGCATGAGGGATATGTATCTCGCGAAACCCCTATCATTGCGTGCTAAACCATCCCCGTGTCCATAGGGAGTCGTGGCAGGCGTTCCCTTCGTCGATGAGGTTTTCGCCCAGTTAGGATGCACGTGAGTCAATTCTACACGACGCAGGGACTGAGCCTGTGCTATGCGATCAGTATCTAAATGACAGGAAAGCGTGGAATGGCACGTCCAAGAAGGCGAGCCTATCGAACCCATCAAACATTGCGCCACCGTGCGCGGGCCCATCCGCAAGATCCTCCTCGGAGAACGTGTCGCCCTCAATATCCTCGCCCGGTGCTCCGGTATCGCAACCAAAAGTGCCTCGTTAGTTGCTGCTCTCCGCGCCCACGGATGGGGTGGAACACTTGCTGGCACCCGTAAAACCACGCCTGGATTCCGCGTCGTTGAAAAGTATGGAATCCTTGTTGGAGGCGCCGATCCACACCGCCATGACCTCAGTTCGATGACAATGCTGAAGGATAACCACGTCTGGGCTTGTGCAAATAACAGTGCGGCTAAGGATGGGGCGGGTCCTGCTTCGACCGAGTCCGTCGCGGCTGCGATACCTCGGGCGGTTCATGCAGCTAAGGTGGCTGGTGGCTTTGCGACTAAGGTAGAGGTTGAATGCCGAAGTGTTGAGGAGGCGAATGCGGCTATTGAGGCCGGGGCGGATGTGATCATGTTGGATAATTTCACTCCGGATGGTGTTCGCGAAGCAGCTAAGCAACTTAAGCAAGATTGGGCCGGCAAGAAGCAATCCTTCCTCATTGAAGTAAGTGGTGGGTTGAACGAGTCCAACGCTGCTTCGTATGCCTGCTCGGACGTCGACATTATTTCCACTAGCTCGATTCACCAGGGTGTCGGAATTGTGGACTTCTCTCTCAAGGTTTCGCTGCGGTGAACACCGTGATTGAGGTTTGGACACGCGGTAAGTAAAATAGCTGATTGACGACGCCATGTGTAGATGTGAATAGATAAAACCATGTATTTATGTACTTTGTCCGCACGTTCCCACTTGACCAAAAGCCAACACTGGCGGTTGGTCTAGCCTTCCATGTGATACAATATACCCGATACACACAGACACAATGCTTGTACCTATCCGCCCTACTATGCAAGGCACAATGATTGTTGAGTAGGTTGAATTACACTCATATTGGCATGGTGGCCATGTGGCATATTTTGCACTAGAAGTACTTCTCTGACTATGGCGTATACCTTATCAATCCTCAAAACCCAGTACGAAGAACACTTTATAACCCAACTCCGTCTATTACCCTACCGAGTAATGAATCACTCCTATGAAAACAGAAACATCTGTGGCGGGCAACATGAATCGGCTAGGGTATTAGAAGTTAAAAAAGAAAATGAGAGCCGAAAGCGATGGGTATATAGTATATGCAAGAATGAACACAGAGGGCCTGGATCAACATGAAGTGAACTGGATTGGCCTGCTCAGGGTAAAACAGAAAAGTCACAAGGGGTGCAAAACAAGCTTGAGAACAGGACAGGCATGGGTTCCAATAAGAACGGGCGAGAGCAATGAACAAAAAGAAAGAAAAATATAACTTAAGAATAAAGGGGGAAATGTTTAGCAGGGGGCCAGAAGGGGACTTCCCTAAACCTCAATATCAACACATATCCCTTCTCCATCACTCGAGCTCGGGTCATCATCTCGGTGATTAACGTATCCGTCACCGGAGCCATGATCAGCCCCTTGAATCATCCTTAGATTTTGCCCTCGAGCCTGACCAGCGTTGTCCTCAACAGAATAATCCGTTGACATGTCTTTGCGCACACGCTCCCTCTCTAGTTGGGCTCGAAGCCTTTGGTTTTCAGCATCTCGCTCTTCAAGTCGCTTGCGAGCCCCATTACGATCTAGTAGGCGTGCCTCCCTTTCTTGCTTCAGTCTTTTCTCCAGTTCGTGCAAGCGCTGAATCCATTTCTCATTATTCCCTTGGTCGCCTACGGCGCGTCTTGTGCGGGAGCTATGCACCATGGCCCCAGCACCGTCGGCAAGTGTCGTGGTTGAAGAGACATGGGATGGCTGAGGTATACCGCTGGTTGAACTCCGCGTCAACCCCCGAGAATTATGGGGGATGGCGGGCTTTTCAACCATGGAATTATGACGAACCAAGGAAGCTGGATCAACGTCCGCCCTGGATTCCATGCGTGGAGAGCTCGGCCCCATCCCGGCAGGCCCGCGGCTGCGCGAGTGAGATTGTAGCAGATTCAGCTCAGCTTTCAACAGCCGATTCTCCCCTCGAAGCTTGGCAATCTCTGGTGACAGGCCAGATTGACCCAGCTTGTGTTGTTGAGCACGCATGTTCATCATTGACTCTTCTAAACGATCCAGCTTTTTGATCCGTAAGCCCAAGGTGTGCTCGACGGCCTGATATTGCTTGGTAAGGTCACGTTCAACGCCCTTGATGCGATTCTTGAAGCCTGAGATCACATTCTCCAGGGTCTTCACAGCAAGCAAAAGATTGCGGCTGAAGCCCGGCCAGAACAGGATATTGCCTATGACCTCTTGACTTGGCAGGTTGCCGTTGATTAAGCTGTTAGAGTGGGCCCAGTCCGGTCCACACATCGCCGATAAACGTTTCCAGATCATAAGAAGCATTGTGTTCCGCTCATTTAGCTGATCCTTGAATTGTTGCTCAAGATTAGTAAACCGCTTGCGATCCTGGCTGCGGGCATTTTCTAGTTCTGTGATGCGTGAATTGTTTTGGGTGATGGTCCGAGATGCTTGGTGGTGAGATTTAAGCGCCTGTTCAAACGATTGCTTATCGGCCCGACGAGAATGTCGCTCGCGTTCGAGAAGCTCAGCTAACTTCCGAGACTCCAACCCATGGCTCTCAAGTAGCGCATCGCGATTTCGCAATAGCGACTCAGTCTCGTCTAGTTTAGAGCGGGTACTTTCGAGTTCCCAAGCAGTCGATTCAAGATTCTTTTGAAGTTCCATGATTTTGGAAATCAAGCTAGAGCGACTACCAGTCAGATCACCCAAAGTCTCTCGAAGATTGTTCTCTAAATCCATGAGTCGCTCCCTCCAAGTATTAGTCTCGATTTCTTGAGCTGATAGACTCTTCTTGAGTTTCCGTGCCTCCTCCTTGGCAGCAGATGCTTCTCGATTCAACTCGTTGACGATTCGCTGGACTTCTTGCTTCTCCTTGCTTCCTACAACCTCTCGTTGATGCCGCTCTTCTGTCAGGCGCTCCTCAAGTTCTCTGGCCTTGTCCTTTTCGCTTTGAAGGCTCATATTGTATGTCTTCAATTCTGACTCCAGATCACCGATTCTGATCTTATCGCCATCTTGTTCTTCTCGCAAGAATGCAATCTCGTTCTGACTCGATTCAATTTGAACTGTCAGTCGCTGGACCTTCGTATTTGCTTCAAAGAGGCTTTTTTCAAGAGACTCCATCTCTCGATTACAGTCCTCAAGTTCTTGTTGGACAGCTTTGTAACGTTGCATGTTGTTTTGTGCGTCTTCTTCAAGCCGAATGATGCCTTCGCTGGCTGAACGCATCTCCGCCTGCAGCGCCCGGAGGTTCTCATCTTGAATCTTCAACTCTTCTCCTAATCGCTGGCACTCTTCAGTCTTCTGATCAAGCTCCTCGCCAAGGGCATCCAGCTCATCTTGGGCTTCAGCCCTCAAGTCCTGGAAAGCCGCATTGTGTTCATCTGCCATCAGTAGTGCACGGTCACGTTCTTGCTCTAGGTTCTGCAGATCTTCTTGTAGTTTTTGCATTTCTTCCTCCGCTTGATCCATGTCAGCCTGATATGCCTTATCGAAAGCCTCAACTTCTTTGCCACGTTCTTGATATGCTTTGTCAAGTGTTTCCAACTCTTTCTTGTACTCTTCCAACTCTCTCTTATACTCTTCCAACTCCGTCCGAACAGCTTGATTATCAAGTTTCAGCGCGGACACCTGATCACGTAACTGTCCGTTCCGAACCTCCAGATCTTCTCGTTCCGCGTCATCGCCTGGGTATGGACCAGTTCCGTCACTCGCTCGAGAGGATGGTCTACCGTGAGCTCGAGATGCGGACCGATCAAAGATGCTGTCCCCAGCAATAGAGCGGCCACCGTCGCGCCGCTGACCAAGCTTCAGCTCCTCGATCTCTTGGTAGAGACGTTCTTTTTCTCGATTTCGAGATGTAAGCATCGAGGTTTGAGCACTCACTTCTTTCCTCAGCTCCGCATTCTCTTGTTTCAAGAGCTCTAACTCCATTACCAAAGTTGAACTAGAGGAACTACTAGGGTTTGCATTGCGATTCAACTCTCTATCGGAGAGAGCAGAGTACGAATTCAGGGACTCTACCCGGTCACGCTGCGTTGCTCTTGTGGAGACTATTATCGAGCTCATTTCACTCTTAAGGCGTAGCGCATCATCTCGTAGCCTTTTGTTCTCCTCCTCTGCCTGCTCTCGAGCAGCCGTCTCTGCTTCGAGCATATCTTTCCACATCTCCTAGAGCATTCAGTTCAGTATAAAGGCAACCGGAAACTTGGGGTGGCCTGCACTCACCCTCTCTTCCCTTGCTCCTACATCCGAACCCATTGGCCTTCCATCATTAAGTGATTTCAGAATTTCTGCCAGTTTCCTCTTCTCGCTTTCCCTGGCAATACTTTCAGACCTTAGTCTCTCAATTTCGAGCTCGTAAACCTCCACTCTCTCCCGGAGAAATAGTATCTCTTCTTCCTGTGCTG